ACAAAGAAGTAAATTTGAATATCAACCCAGTTTGTGGATTCAATTTGTCTGGCAACTGCTTCACCAAAACTCATTGTGATCAAACACAAGTTTGTGCTTTCACACATACGTATGATCCCTATGGATGGACTCAGCATTCTGAGGCCATCAGATAAGGAAGTTTCACCGAGTCCCTGGGGTCTTATTAGCATTCCAAGACACTTCCTTACGACGTCAAAGGATCAGTGCGTTCGGCAGCTGCAAGGTGACAACATATTACAACAAATGTCTTAAAATTAAAAAGGATCATAAGTGACTATTATGAACATCAACATGCGAACAAATTGGATAACCTAGAAGTGGATAAATTCCTAGAAAGATACAACCTACCAGGAAAAGTATTAAAAAACAGAAAACCTAAACAAACCAATAACAAATGCAAATAAATAATACTAATTTTTCTTAAACTCTTCCAAAAACTAGAAGTAGAAAGAATGCTTCCAAACTCATTTTATGAGGCCAGCATCTGATTCCAAAGCCAGACAAATACATCACAAGAAAAGAAAACTACAAGCCAATATGTCTGTTCCAACTTGGTCGACAATAGTGCCCAGATATTTAGTCACACATTCTACTGGTTATTTCCGTAAAGGGCTTTTTCAGTGGGATTACCATTTCAATAGGTAGTTTGAGTAAATTAGATTACCTTCCATAAAATGGGTACTCCTCATCCAATCAATTGTAGTTCTTAATAGAAGAAAGATTGGCCTTCCCTCAACAAGTGGGAATTCTGCCATTAGACTATCCTTTGATTTAAACTAAAATTCTTTTTTGCTTTTCATACTGCCTATCTAGAGTGCAGATTTTTGAGTTACCCAAGTGTCTATAATCACATGAGCCACTTCCTTAAAGAAAAAAAATTAATACATATGTATAAATACACATGCTTACATACACACACAATGATGGTTCTGTTTTTCTGGAGAACCTGACTAACACTTATTTCTAATACTTTATAAATCAAATAAATTATTCATTTTAAATGAGAAGCCATTTCTGTTTATGCAGTCTTCTAAACAGTGATTTTTATGAAATGTTCAATACCTTTTGGGAAAACACAAAAAATAAATTTTCTCAATTTTATTCACATATAAAATGACAAGTGATATTAGAACTTCTACTTCCATCCTCTCCCAAACTGGTATTTGCTGGAAAGGCTTTCATATTAAATGTACTAGGGTTTCATAATAGTGTGAGGAGCTCTGCTGATCCACTCCCCAATAAAACTGGTGAAAATGATTTTAATAACAATTAATGCCATTGGAGATGGTCCTAATGGCAAACAACAAATGAAAAACATCTACTCAAGAACATCTATGAAGATTTGTAAGGGGGCCGGCCGAGTGGCGCGTTGGTTAAGAACTGGCTTGGGACGCCAGAGGGCCCCGGTTCGGATCCCACATATGAGGGCCAGTGACACTGCCCTCCACAGCTATGATGCTGAACAACAACTCAACCTGGAGCTGGGCTGCAGTGAGTTGCCAGCAATGGCGTAGGCTGCAGCCCCTGCTTCAGTGGGTTGCCATGGGCTGCCTTGTGTAGCCAGCAGCCAGCGTGAGAGGCCAGCAGCCGCAGTGAGCCCAGAAGCCAACGACTGATCTGCCTCGCCCGGGAAGAGCGCAATGATGGTGCCAACTTGGGCCAGTGAAGCAACGCCCTCCACAACTAGACTGAAGAACAAAAGGACAGCAACTTGTCTGTTCCCCTTCCCCCAATTCCCGAGCGCTGTTCCCATCCCCCAATCCCCCAATTAAAAAAAAATCTTAAAAAAAAAGATTTGTAAGAAACATGAGTCTGCGGTATTTGAATCAAAGCACTTTTTTCTTTTCGACTACTCCCAGCTCACATTGGTGAAGACACCAGTCAAGACTAGGGTGCACTGTTACAATAAACCAAAACCTGTACGAGTGAATATTCTGACAGAAATGTCTAGTATAGAAAGGCTATACTTATAAGGTGTCAGTAAATCTGATGATCAGAACAAAGTAATGACTCCAAAGACTGGGGGTTGAATCTAATCATTGCATCAAACAGCAAGATCTATCTGTAAGAAATCAAGGTTTAAGTAAGCCATTAACCCTCTGAGGTTTGTAGACTGGGGTTGTAAGAGATACAAGGTCCACTGAGTGCCTTTTTCATTGAATACCCAGTGCTGTGTATTCCCATAACTGAACGGACAATATTAATGCTTCGTAGCACATTTTGACGAGTCCTTGCATTTTGGCTTCAGCAGCGTTATGTATAATGAGTAATTTGTAAGTATCTACCATGGTCAGAGTATAGGATGTAGCCAGCAGATGGGGTGAAGGGTCCTTTCAAGTCTGTTTACCATCAGCTGTAGGAACCTCTTCCTTGGACAAGTAGTCCATTGACTATATTACAAGTGATGTGTATTTTTCGCATTAAGCTCATTGCTCAGTCACTACACCAGGGGTGCCAAAAAAATGTATACAAGTGGACACTTTGGTCAATGTTGCTCAAGCATAAGTTGCCCATAATCAGAAGTGTCTGGATGCTGATGGTAACCACTTTGAGCACCTCTTGTAATTGCAGAAGTCAAACATGACTTGTATTCATTTTTTGTTATTGGTAAAAATTAAGTATTACATTTTTTATAGTTTTTCCCTTAAAATGTGTATACATATTTTTTGGCTGCGTGTGCATGTGTGTGTGTGTGTGTGTGTGTGTGTGTGTGTGTGTGTGTGTGTATAGTGTACTTGTAGTTTTCACAAATATACAGTACTGGCATCAAAAGATGGAAACCTGCCATCAGTGAAAAGAACACTCTTGTGGTGCCCATTTTAATGAATCCCCTCCATTAAGTAAGCTAACACTCTAAAAAATATTTTAAAATTTCCTTTGCTCATTCCTAAACCTGTAGCTGTCACTGCTGTTTGCTCCTTTTCCATATATGCTAAACATCTAAGCAAATGGAAATGAAACCTGAGAACTGCAAAATGGGCTGTGGGGCTGTGTGAATCATTGCAACTAGATTTCCAGTCATTCCTGTGATAAAAAGACATTCAAAATTTCCCATCATTCCTGTTATACCCAATTAGGATATTACTCAAAATGACACCCTCTCTATAGCTCACCTCAGTTATTCCTTGGATGTCTGCTCTAAACATCCATAGCTCTTTGTGGTGTTTCCACTGGGAAATCACAGTGGACTTGCATAGATGTCACCCTACTCATAGAATAAACTCAGGATGTGCTAGAAGGGTGCAGGTGCAGGTGAACGTAACTGTTTCCCTAAATTGTAGATCTTAATAGAAGTAGTTCTTAAATGAAAGAAACTCCATGGCTTAATGGGGTATATTTTGCACACTCAGTCTGTACAACAACAGGATGAAAATGCCAAATACTATAAAATTTTAAATTCTTAAGATAAATAAAAGTCTTCTCAAATAACATTAAACCCCAAAAGACACCACAAATATCTGTGGCCTAAGTCAGAAGAAAGTCACAAGTCCCAGATAATAATAATGACATCCTCACCAAATGAGGCTCCTACCCTCATAGAAAGGAAATATACACACTCCAGCTTCATTATGTCACTTTTCACTTTCCTTTAAAGCTCTTCTTTACATCTTATAAACCAAAGCTTTACCACTTGTTAACCATTTCTGTTTTCCAACAAAAGTATAAGCACCAGGACGGCAAGAAATGTTTGTCTCATGTCACTACATCCAAATCCAACAGTACCTTATTTGTGCTAAATTCTAGGGTACTTTGACTCTAAAATGCATGGAAGTGAGGGAGGTTGAAACATCAGCATCAAGAATATAATCTGTAACAAAGAAAGCCTTGATTTACATAGTGGTTCTGTCTTCTTTACTAGGTTTGTGTTCTCTCACAAATTTACCTAAACTCAATAGGCTTCACTTGAGTCATAAAGGAGATATTAAAAAATTAAGTAGTATACTAAGTAATTCATATATTTTTTTATGGAGGCACTGTTATGATAAACAGTGTCTGATACACTGTAGGAAATACATCAGTGTTAAGAGAATCAGTAGAAAAAGCAAACACTGTTGCAGAGCAACGGGAGCTGGTCTTGCTGTCATTGTAAGGCAAGTCCTAGCCTGCAGAAGAGACAAATGCCACACACCTCCTTCATCAAAGGTACACACTGACTGTGATGGACCAAGACAAAGGTTATTTTGTAACCATATCAAAAAATTGGTAAAGGATAAAACTCAAATCATAAAAGGACTAATATTCCATTCTTATTAAAATAACTGACTGTTAACTTCTTATAAATTAAGGTTAGCTCCACTATATTGTTTTTACCTTCTAGAACACAACAATTATGATTACCAATGATAGAAGGAAGTTTATCTCCTCACAGCACTCAATACAGAAAATGATTTGCTTTCTTGAATAGCAATCAAATCATCTTATACAAGCCTAAATCCTTTAAGTACTTTTGAGCACCTGTTAGTGTTATACTCACAGTCCTTTATGGTTTGTGATCATTCTTATTAGAATTCATTACACCCCTCTCTTTGACCACAACTCCAGTCCTGCAGGTCACTGGCAAGAGGGCACTGAAAAAACCATTATTTAAGTTTTGGTATTAAGAATAACTGAGAGGGGCGGCTGGGTGGTCAGTTGGTTAGAGTGCGTGTTCTTAACAACAAGGTTGCCGGTTCGATTTCCACATGGAATGGTGAGCTGCACCCCCCGCAACTAGATTGAAGACAACTACTTGACTTGGAGCTGATGGGTCCTGGAAAAACACACTGTTCCCCAATAAAATTTTTAAAAAGAATAACTGAGAAATTAGTTTCATGATAAAAACTGTAACTAAAAAATAAAATTTGCCTGAGGGAAAAAATACCAGAACTTGTATGCACATGATAAAACTGACTCATAATGTATAACATGAGTATTTAAATGAAAAAAGCATCAAAGTATATCTGAAAATTCATAATTACAATGGGTTTTAATATAACCTCTGAGGAAATGAAAACAATATTTATTAGCATCTGATGGCTTAGAAAGCAGTTGAAAAATATATCAATAAAACAACTACAGAGGCATTCATTTCACAGAGAAACACAAATACTTTTAAAGACACACAATCAAACATACTTGAAAGCATACCGAGGGCTTACATTCACCTACAAGTAACAGGAAACACTCACAGGCTTCCTCACAGGAGGAAGGGGCCTATTTTCACATGGAAGGACTGGGTCATGGCAGCCACTTGCACATGCAGCAGAGAAACAAATGCCCATGTCTTTTTCAACAGCACCACTGTAGATGTCATGGCGAATCAGGAAAGCATACTCACTAACAGTTCACAGCTTAAGGGTGTTTCCTATACAAATTAGACCTTACACTGATACAATCTAGAGAAGAGGGGAAGCAGACATAAGCATGAAAGTCTGAAACAGTTTTCTGGTGAACACAGAGGGCTGAAAGCAAAGTCCAAACTCTGATGGATCTTTGATGTGAAATTGTGAAGACATCAGTGGAAACCTGCACCTCAGAAAATGGAAATCAGACCGTTAGTGGTAGTTTTCAGGATACTCAATTGGAAATGCAAAGAATGGGGATAATGGGCTGGGATATGGTGTTCTCAAAGCTCATATGTATCTGTCTTTCTCCCTGTATGGTGTCTCCAGAATCTAATGCCTTCTTCCCTTCTGCCTTCCAAATCACATGCAAATGAGGCTACTGGTGAATTCTAACATGGCGCCATAAATGGGGTAGATTCTGGAAAATCTAGCTCCTAACATTACCTTCACCAGCATATTGCAATACAGTGGTGATGTCTCCAGCTCTACATTTTGTTGACCTGTAGCCTTAATTCAAAGTCTATTTACCATAAACCAGTCAGAAGGAAGTAGAAAGAGCAAAGTCTCCAATATGAGAATAATTTACATGAAAGTATACTAATAAACTTGCCATTTATAAACATTTATTCTAAATGTTTAATAGTATGGAAAATAGAAAAAGACTCCTATACCCACCACCCTAAAAGAGGAGATTCCTCTAAGAAAAGTACAATATATACACTAGATTAGGGATGCTCAGGAACTGCCATACAAGGACAGTAGAAAATTCCAACAAATACAAACTCATTTTTCAATGGTCCCTTAACAGAACAAATAAAACATTATTTTAAAAATCAAACCTAATTGCATTTAGAAGTGTACTTCAATTCACCCATGGATCCAAGAAGCTTTAAAATAGAAAGAGAAAACATTAACTGGTTTAAAGAAAAAGCACTACCTATTAATTATATGCACTATTGTCTTTTTTTTTTCTTCAGCTAAGACAGCAGATAATTTATTATAGGCATTACATTCAGCCACAACTGAGAACAGAACTTGTCCAGAATGTCACAGGTCTAGAGCAAAGGACTGTTTTTGTACGAGCAAGGTGGGTCTCTCAAAAGGCGGTCACGGGAAACATGGCAATGTACGTTCTAGATCCATTGAGAAGTTCTAGACAGCAGGCATACAGTCCCACAATTTGTTCCAGTGTCCCTGGCCCCTGGCTTTCCTCATTTCTGCTACTGTGGCTTCCACAGGTGCACAAGCTAGCGGTTTACTTGGACCTCCACCTCATCTTCTTTTGCTCTTCAGCCTGTGCATTGGCTTCTTCCTCCACTTGGCTCTCACGGCACGGAGGTTTCTAAGAAGATGACGCTAAAGCCGACAGCATATGCACTACTGTTGAAAGATGAGTCTCAGAATTTTCTCACCTCAGTATTCACTTGTAAAAGTAATTAGAAATCCACAGCCCACCATTGTATTTAAGAGACTTGGTAAACACAACAGTCATGCACCACATGACATTTTGGTCAATGACACACCGCATATATGACAGTGGTCTCCTAACATTAAAGTGTAGCTGGAAAATTGCTATCGCTTAGTGACATCATAGCTGTTGTAATGTCATAGCACAACATATTACGATTGCCTACAGGATTCAGTACAGTAACACTGTACAGGTTTGTAGTCTAGGAGCAGTAGGCTACAGCATATTGCCTAGGTGTGTAGTGGGCTATACCATCTAGGTTTGTGTAAGTACACTCTACAATGTTTGAATAATGATAAAATTACCCACTGACACATTTCTCAGAACATATCCATATTCCTAAGTGATGTATCACTGTATATTTTCAACTTTTATAACAACTCTTTCATGTTGAAAAATCTCTAGAATAGTACACGTGGATTATTTTCCATGAAGCTTTCTCATGTTACATTTATATTTATTTTTGGTGGGAGTTTCACATATAAGGATGTGGACCAACTGAAGTCTTTTCAAATTCAAGAGGATTTTTTTCAAGTGAGGCCATTATGCCTTCGGAAGAAACTGCGGTGACAGAAGTCCTTCCCACATTCTTCACATTTATATAGTTTGTCTCTTACATGTATTACATCTTGCATGTGAACATTTGAGTGAGAAATTAAGGCTTAACCACATTCCTAGGGTTTCTCTCTGGTGAGTTCTTATGTCTTCAAAGAGAACTGGAATCACTGAATACTTTACCACATTCCCTACATTCACAGGACTTCTCTCCACTGTGAGTCCTTTCATGTGCTTAGAAACCTACCTGAGAACTGAAAGCTTTACCACATTCCTTAGATTCATAGGGTTTCACTCCTGTGTGAGTCCTTTCATGCCTTTGTAAGGATCTCTGTGCTGTGTAGGCTTTACCACATTGTTTACACACATAGGGCTTCTCTCCAGTGTGAGTCCTTTTATGTATTCGGAAACCTAGATGAGAAATGAAAGCTTTACCACATTCCTTACATTCATAGGACTTCTCACCAGTGTGAGTCCTTTCATGTGCTTGGAAACCTACCTGAGAACGGAAAGGTTTACCACATTCCTCACATTTATAAGGTTTCACTCCTGTGTGAGTCCTTTCGTGTCTTTGTAAGGAACTGTGTGCTATGTAGGCTCTACCACATTGTTTACATTCATAGGGCTTCTCTCCAGTGTGAGTCCTTTCATGTATTTGGAAATTTCTATGAGAACTTAAAGCTCTACCACATTCCTTACATTCATAGGGTTTCTCCCCTGTGTGAGTCATTTCATGTCTTTGTAAGGAACTGTGTGCTGTGTAGGCTTTACCACATTGTTTACACTCATAGGGCTTCTCTCCAGTGTGAGTCCTTTCATGTACTTTAAGAGAACTGGGAGAACTGAATGCTTTATCACATTGCTTACACTGATAAGGTCTATTTCCAGTATGTACTTCCATGTGTTTCTGAACATTTGATGGATAACTGAAGGTTTTCCCACATTGTTTACATTCATAGGGTTTCTCTCCAGTGTGAGTCCTTTCATGTCTTCGAAATGAACTGCGAGAAATGAATGCTTTCTCACACTCCCAACATTTGTAAGGCCTATCTCCAGTGTGAGTGATCATGTGTACTCGAAGGCTTGAGTTAACAATAAAGGTTTTCCCACATTCCTTACATTTATAGGGTTTCTCTCCAGTGTGAGATCTTTCATGCATTTGAAAAGAATAGAGATACTTGAAGGCTTTACCACATTGTTTACATTCATAGGGTTTTTCTCCAGTGTGAGTACTTTCATGTCTTTGGAAACCTGGAAGAGAAATGACAGCCTTACCACATTGCTTATATTCACAGTGTTTCTCTAGTGTGTGAGTTCTTTCATGTGTTTGATAGCGATAAGCTTTTCCAGATTGCTTACATTGATACCATTTCTCTCCAGTGTGGTCTCTTTCATGTGTTCGAAGTGAACTGAAGCTACTGAAGGATTTCCCACATTCCTCACAGTTAAAGGTTTTCTCTCCATTGTGATTTCTCTCATGTTTGTCAAAACACTGGAGATAACGGAAGCCTCTCCCACATACCTTACATTTATATGGCTTCTCCCCACATTTTTGATATTTATAACGCTTGTGTCCAGTGTGATATCTGAAGTGCCTATGAAAGGATGACTGACTCATGAAGACGATTCCACTTGCATTGTGCTCATGTGCTTTTACTCCAGTGGTTTTTCTGTTCAGATTCATATTTGGAATAAGGCTGAAGTGTTCTCCACAGTCACTACCCTCTTTATTTTCACAGAGTCTCTCTACCCTATGACTTCTGTAAAAAATGAAAAGCACATTATTAATGATGTCTTTATTAATCATGTTATATTTATTATATTTATGATTTATAGGAAGGTTTTATACCTTGTCTAAATTATTTGAAATCAAACATCTTGCATTCTATGCAAGAGGACTTTACTCTTACTTCTGTTTAAACAGTGATATTCATATATAGGGTTTATTAATACTGTTTCTGAGTGATCTGCTTTGCAAACACTGAACAACTATGACACATTTAAGAACATTTTTTGGGGAAATAACTAAATTTAAGCAGGAGTTATCTTTTTTGTTTGCTTTTTTAATAATTTAATAACATACCAAGATTCTCACATGAGAAACTGCTTTCTATTGTGAGTGTGACTCACCTCATTTTTCTCCATTGGTTTTTGTACTGATCGTCAATGTCATGATCTTCCCATTTTTTCCCTAAAATGCAGACTCAGAAAAATTATTCCAAAGCATTAAAATTATTAAAAAATTATTAGTTTCTAGATTCATAATGAGCTGTGACAATGTCTAGTTTATTTACCAGCATCCTCCCTTTCCACATTCCACATCTTAGAACAACACTGATAGGCAAAAACACTTGTTTTCTTGCCAGATGGGAGGGGGGTTGAGGGTTGGATGAAAAAGGTGAAGGGATTAAGAAGTACAAATTGGCAGTTACAAAATAGTCATATAAAATAATAGTCATACAAAATAGTCATGTAAAATAAATCATAGGGAAAATAGTAAAAAATATTGTAATAACTATGTATGGTGGAAGGTGGGTACTGGACTTACTGGGGGTTTCATTTCATAAGTTATATAAATGTCTAATCACTAGGTTGTACACCTTAAACTAATATAATATTGAATGTCAACTTTAACTGAAAATTTTTAAACAAAATGTTTTTAAAGAAAAATTTGTTGTCTAATTGATAAAGTGAAGGTGACTTGTCATCCTTACCTAAAGAGGCCAGGTTCCTGAAGGTTTCCCGCATCACATCTCTGTAGAGTTTCTTCTGTGAAGGATCCAGTAAGGCCCATTCCTCAAGGGTGAAGGTCACAGCCACATCCTCAAATGTCAATGAGTCCTAAAACATTCAACATATGTGTACAGTAGGATGCGTAAGACTGACAGCACTGGACATCTATACTCCATTTATAGGAATGTTACATATGACTGTCATCTCCAAACATTTATTCTATGACTTGATCATTAGAAATTTACTCCTCGTCCACATTTAACTTCCTCATAAATTTAACAGCATGATGAACACATGGAAATTATTTACACACTTTTACTGTGATCACATTACATCTTATTTCTCTCTAATAACAGCGTCCTGAGCATGTTGAAAAATGTCAAAGATTCTGTAGAAATTGAATATTATTAAAAGACTGTTGATTCTGTAAAAAATTCATCTCCTTCATTATTACCCACCATTCATGTCAATTTGCATGATATTTCAATAAACAAAAAACATAGTGAAGAACGGAAAGCTTATTCTTCTAGTCCTATCACCAAACATGAATTCAGAAGGCTTGTAGAAATCAAATTTTTAACAAAGCTGAGCCGGCCACATTGCCTTTAAGTATTCCAGCCCATTAGAAGTAATCAAATACAGCTGGCTGAATGGAACTATTTTTATGGAGAAGCATTGATTTTAACTTGTGTAATGTTTATCACAGAATCAGTTTTTCCTTTCTCTGTCCAATTTGATGGGGCTAGGAAGTTATTTGGAACTTGGATCTCACACACAAGAAAGCAAGCATGACAACTTAAACTAAAAAATCTCTGTACTCATGTGCTCAGGGCTGCTTTCAGTCAAATATTAGAGCTCATATTAAGAGAATATGCCAGAAGAGCTCTTTCTGGTCAAACCTTAACAGCCTACTCTGGGCCACACTGCCCTTGAGGAATAGGTGAAGAGCTGTAGCTTGCAAGGGAGTTCACTGAAGTCCACAGGGGTTGATGGTGAGTTTGCCCCTGAGTATAAAATATATAAAGGATTCAACAGTGCTTCCCTCCAAAAAAACCCCATAAAATTTGCATTCACCAATTTCAGGAGGAAATATTTCCTGACCAGCCAATCTAGAGGCTGCCCTTCTAACTTCTGGTGTGACACATAAAGAACTTAGAAGCTGTCATTCTTGATCTCATAAGAGGAAAACAAACAAACAAACCCTTGAAATGAACAACTCTTCTTAGATCCATGAGAGCCTTGAGGTCACAGGGCCAACTGGTATCTCCAAAATTAGTAAAGAGGAAAAACAGCATTTTGAAATATGCTCCAAATATTCTGTTAACAAGGCATGTACTCAAAAAGACAAAAAGACAAATCACAATATTCATGAATCCTAGGACAAACTTCTTTAACAAAAGGTTTAAAATACACATAATGGGACTACCTAAAGAAAAGAAAGACAGAAAGAAACAGACGTAAGTGAAGTAAAATACACTGAAATTTCCTAAAACCAATGAGATGGCACACTGTAGATTCAGGAAGCTCAGAAAACACTAAACATGAAAACAGCAAAAATGTACACCCAAGTATCTCATATTCAAACTAGAAAAAAATGCAAAGGCAAAGAGAATATATTGAAAGAAGCCAGAGGGGAAAACATACTTTAGTTATAGAGAAACAAAGATTAGAATTAAATTGGACTTCTTTTCAGAAACCATGCAAGCAAGAGAAGAGTGGGGTGAAATATTTAAAGTTCTGGGGGAAAAAAACCACACTGTTCTACAATTCTGTGTCAAGCAAAATTATCATTCAAAAATAAAGTAGAAATAAGGACTTCCAGAGACAAAGCACTGAGGAAATCTGTCATTAGTAAGCCTACGTTGAATGAAATGTTCAAAAATTCATCAGAGTGAATGTAAATGATAAAGTTGGAGGTTTACAAAAGGTATAAATGAAGGTAAACTACCTTCTATAATCTTATAATAAAAAACTAATGATGCTTTAAAATAATATTAGTAACAATGTATTTGGTAAAATAAACTTATGGATAAGTGAAATAAATGATAGCAGTGTGACAAGGGACAGGGAGGGGGAAATTGGGACAAGTGTGGTATGAGGTACTTGACGAACCTTTGAAGTGGTACAGTGTTACCTGACAGTGGATGTGGTTTAGTTGTAAACGTATACTTTGTAATAGATAAGTATGATATGGGGGGGGGGAAGTGGGGCAGCGGATTGGGGGAGGAGAGCTGTCACCTCGAGGGGTAAAAAGTATAACTATTGCACTGTGTTGTACAGCTGAAACTAATTCTAAAAAATGTGTATTTCACAATAAAAAAGAATA